TTAGCTTCCAGGTAGACGTCAGTTGGGAGCCCCTCCTTTGCCCTTTGTACACGTTTCCTTGAACATAACCTTGAGAGAGTTAGTTCCAATGTTCTTGACCACCGGTTTCCTCAGTGTTGCCACGTAGTGTCTCTGAAATGATCTGTAGTGAAGGTATCACTTGTAGTTTAGTCCTTCAGTTTCTGAAGGACTCCAGCTTGACTTTGAAGGTTGCTTGAACTAGATGATGGTCTGAGCCCGCTCACATCTGCTCTCCTTCACGTATTTGTGTCCAGCAGGCTAGCTGTGTTTTCACTTCCTTGATCAGCATTAAAATGAAGTTTATCTGGTTTGTGGTGTGTCCATCAAGCGAAATCCATATCGCTTGTCTTGTATACATCGTTGTGCTTGTACACTCTACCTCCAATCATCAAACCACTGAAAGAGCAGTCTGCGAATAGTTCTCCGTTCTCATTCGTTTCGCCAGGTGAGGGCCTCTTGACCCATGATGAGTTCCCTTTCTGTATTATCTGCTCCCAGTTTGGCATTCGTATCGCCAATAAGTATTTTGATGTCGCCATTCGAGATGTTGTCCATCATTGTTTGCAGTTGTCTATAAAATCTTCCTTCCTCCTTAATTCCGCGTTGTTTGTGAAATTGTGCATAGCATTGGATAATTGTAACCTTTCTTCCTTCACTTTGAGTTGAGTCTTGGTGTCATGATTTTGGATAATATTGGTTCTCACTGTATAAGAGCTTTTGCTGCCGCTGGCGACGTCATGACAGCCACTCAATGCCTCAATGTTCCCGTGGCTGTAGTCTGTATGGGCTGACCGGAGTAGATTACTGACTTTCCAGTTGACAGTTTGGGTAATACACATCCGTTCCATCTTCTTTCGCAGACACCCAGCCAAATCTCATTTCGTTTGCTACTTGGGCAGCCCTCTCAGTCTCGTATATTGTACGGACATTCCACGTCCCCATTCTTATTCTTGATTTCATCAAGATCTTACATCTAGGGATTAGTCCTGTAGAAGTATTATGTAATGAACTATATTTCGAACACATTTTATTGTTCATAATCAATTTTCGAAGTTGTCTGCTTATAAGTGATGTGATTATGAACAATAAATTGTGTTCGAAACTTTACCCAGCAAATAACGTGGTTTTACGGTGTGATATTTCCAGTGAACAAATAAATAAGGAACTGAGTTTTGTTTAACTTCGTCTGATATTTTATTTTTTTTACTAGTCTAACAGTGATGGCCTGGATAGAGTCTTAAGTGTGGAAATCCATCTATATATGTTTTCATGATTCCACTAGTAATAAAACCTAATTGGAAATAATTCTTTACTATTTTGTCAGTTAAAATTCACACTGAATTCTGTGAAGTAAATTTATGACTCAGAATTGTCTTAAATATTTCGGTATACAACAAGCAACATGCTGTATGTTGAGTTTTAAAGTGATTAGTGAATTTAGTGTTATACATTTTCATTCTGTTTTTACCAATTTATGAATCCTGTCTTATGTGGCAGGAGATTATTATTATTTTTATATCCTTTAATTCCTAGAGGAACATAGGGCTGCAAGTCTCCATTGCCTTCTGTTTTCTGACAACTTTTTCACCCCGCTCCAAGTCTGCCCACACATGCTTTCATCTCCTCTTCACACGACCTCCTCCAAGTCACCCTTGCACTGACAACCAACTCGACGCTTCCCTTTCGGATTCCACTCGAGCGATGGCTTGTCTAGTGATGTCACTTGATGGTTTCCTCAGCGTATGACCAATCCATTCCCACTTCCTCCTGCCTATTTGTTTCACAATCGGTTCCTGGTTGGTTCGCTCATTGCCAGAGATCCCACTCTGTCGCTGATCTTTTCTGGCCGGCCATCTGATCTTGAGTGGTATTGAGCGAAGACAACTGTTGATGAAGGTCTGAAGATTGTTGGAGATGCTCTTTATGACGTGCTGGCCAAGTCTCTGATCCGTATGTTAAGTAGCACTGACTTCACATTGGGGTTGAAAATCCGGATCTCATTTTCATTTTCGTGTTGAGTGCTGTTGACTTCCACACAGACTTAAGAGTAATGAAAGCAAGAGAAACTGGGTTTAATATTTATTCCTTTTTTAACAATCCTAATGAAGAAATTTATAAAGCTTTAACAAGGTCATGTGTTTGTTGGTGAATTATATTATTATTCTCTTACACTTCTTCAATCCTGTTTTCACTGAAACCAACAACACTATCAACTTACAGACCAAAGAGTTTAGTTAATTGAGATGCACTAAACAGTTTTCAAAAATGTTCTCGATGTCGAGGGTTGATGCTGATTCAGCTGAATCAATTGCACTTTCACCCGTTCTCTACATAAAAATCTATTTAGTTTTAAGACAGTTTTCGTCACAAACTGACACTGGTTAAAAATCAGTGGGTACTGAACATTTTTACGTCCTAGATCAAAGTATTTCAACAGACTTGATTAATATTCAATGAAGTATGGTTTACGAAACTGATCAAAAGTGCTTATGAACGTAAATATGTACGCATTGGTGAAATCATTTGAAGAAATCTTATGTAGATGATAGTGATCAGAGTAAACAACGATATGAGGTAGCCTAGTAGCCTAGTTACAGTGAAGTGTCAAAGTACGTTATAGCGAAATGCTTGAAACGGAAGGACTTTTGGGTAAATTGGGTAAAATCAGCATATAGTGGAACATTTTATAAACGCAACACTTATCACTTGCCTTTTCTCACACTGTCATTGCCTTCGCATGAATGTGAAGACAAAAATTGGGTGTAGTTCAAGCTGTCTTTCATTCAGTCAAAAAGTAATTGACCTAGAAACTGAATTTAACAAATTTCAACATTGAAATATAGGTCAAAAAATGTCATCAGTTGTAAAACTACATAGTCGTTTACTTCACTTCATTAATCAACTTAATTAGTATTGATTAGGACAAGAACCATAGTATTTGTTACCGAAATTCAGTCGAGCGTTAAATAACAATCAATTAAAGTTATCGTGAAGCCTTCTATAAGTATCTTAGGTCTTCATACTTCTTTAATAATATCTGCTTATTTTCAGACTTTCTGAAGTTACTTTGTCGTATTTTGCAGACTACAGGAGAATAGATCACTCAAGTAATAAACACTATGAGAAAATCCTGATGTTTGTAGGCTCAACAATGGGCACCTTCATTTGTTTAGCTTTCGTTAGCTCCGGACATCTGCACTTTTTAATTATAACTACGAGAAGTCAGATTATAAGAACTTGACTTAGTTTAAGTGAAGCACTCGTTTTACAAGAGATTCAGGTGGGCTGAAGAATACCTTACTCTTGGCTTTTATCACTACTGATACTTGAATTCTGCGAAACAAACTTCGACCTATTTCAACACAAAACGTATACTCATTTCAGTTACACTTTTCATGAAAAGCATAGCGTGATATTCTCCTTATGTAGAGTGTTCAACTAAAAATAGTAATAAAGACAACTATTACGCGATAAATTTTGATGAGAATTTCCTAGTGCATGTAAACATATTCTGTGGGATAAATGTACTATTATTTTATCATTATTATTGTGAAAACGTTTCAAGAGAGTGAAAAGTTTGATTTGGAAGCGCTTTTCTAAATACTCGAATTACGTTATACCTTTCAGATCCATTTTAATACTCTTTTTCACTGTAAATTCTTACCTGATTAAGACTTCAGGTATTTGGTGATTATTTTTCGTGAACAACAAACATCTTCATTATTTAACCACGATATAGATGAATTTTAAAATATCCTTAGCAGTCTAAACTCAAATGGATGCAGTTTATGAATAAATTTCATTTCACATCATCTACAAATATTCTTAATAGTTGAATACCCCAACCAGTTAACGGTTTATACATATACGATGTTGTAGTTATAACTACTCATCTTGCAAACATATCTCGACTTTTCGAATTGGTATTTGCATTGCGAAACCACTGTCGAACAGTGCTATGCTGAATTCTAATTGTAGGAATAGTTCCAATGCAGTTTATCGGTGTGGTAGTCGTGAAAGTCAGATAAAAAACGTTTTAATTCTTTTAAAATGAATTTAATGAATTGCTTTTTACTGGACGCTAATTGCTGCCAAGTGTCTAGTTCTTTGTTTACTGAAGATTGAATTCTATAAGTCAAGTCTGCAATGTGGCCACCATGCTAGGTGGCTAACCATCTAATAACAACAATCCTGAGTGTACCGTGATGGTGAGACATCCAGCCACACACCTAGCATGATGGCCACATTACAAACTTGAATGATAGAATTCAGTCTGCAGTAAAGAAAGGACTAGACACACTACACTAGTTGGCATCCAATCAAAAGTATCTAGTACAGTCCTACAAGAGATCAATCGTGAGCCCGGATAGCTTAGTAGTAATGGCTCTGACTGCAGCACTGGGTGACGCGTGTTTGAAGCTCAGAAGGGATATGAGTTCCTTGAAGATTGCAGATGCGCCTTGCTGAAGAGTGCCAACAAGCACGAAACTTAGGTCCAAGGCTTCCTGTCGATTGCTTCCAAGCGTCTAATATTAACAATCCTGAGTATATGAATTGCATTTTTTGATTAACCTTAACTTTCATTAATTAGATAATACGTGGGTACAGACGCATTCATTGATTAAAGGAAGAAGACTGGCCAAGAATACTAACTTTATTATCATTATAAACTTATTTTAGACAAAAATTATTAACAGCAAATACGTATATGTGTATGCATTCTTAAAAAAAATCTTACATGTTTTTTTTAAATAATATGTGTAAGGTGTATTAATGTGAGTGTTTGTCAAGAGATTGTCAGTCAGTCAGTTTTAATGGTCAATCGTAATTTCATTTCCTCATGTCATTGTCTATTGTAACTGGCACGTCACCATGCACATATCAATCAAACTATATTGCTAACTTGTTTTTAAAAGGCTAATAGTGGAAATGCATATTATGTTTCATTTGACCAATGTTTTGATATACTAATTAATATATATATATATATATATATATATGTAAGCATAGATGTTGTATTTACGAAGAGAATGGAAACAATGAAAGAGAACTGTTTATTATTAATGCTTGCGGTATAATTATCCTCTGTTGTTCTGAAGAACTCTTTGGTTTACGAGACCATTGGGAATCGATAAGAAGAGAAACCTACAGAGAAGATGGTTGTTTTTGGAAAAAATCTTGACGAGGGAAATTAAGCTGACCAGTTACTCTTCTTCTTATCAATATTCTTTTTAAATACAGATGAACTGCTTATAGAAAAAGCTTTATACACAAAAATGAACACTTTGTTAGTATATTTATTTGTGTAGATGGCATCTTCGTATAGGTCTGCTGATTAGTATGAAAATGCACCACGCATACAGGAGCTTGTTTAGACAGGGTTCATTTCATTATTTTTCCCCGAAGTTTGATAATTGTTAATAATGCAGTGATTTGGAATTGCATGTGAAGGTAGGATTTTTGATTCTTCACAGGAAGCTATTACATATATATATATATATATATATATATTCATATTGCTGCACTTAAGGGAAATATAAATGATTTAAATGATTATGAAAACAGAATCAGAATACACGAAACTGTTGGCTCACAGTGTTGAAAATAACTACAACAACAAAAGAAAAGAAAGAGGAATGAGTTAATTTCATTAATCGAATAAATCTACTCTCTTTGCTTTATAACTGTGTTTGTGATGGTGTTTGTTCCGCTTTTAATAGGTAAATGATCAAATGCACGTACACACACATACACACAAAGAAAAACAAAAAAAGCACATAATCAGTCCAGTAGGCATTATGAGTGATCAATGCATAAATATGTTTACTCAAATTATTTACTACTAGAAATTCAGTTAAAAATAATAATTGCATTACATTGATTATAAATAATCAAATGAAGAAGGTTCCTATATATGTATAATAAAAAGAATTTAGTGCTTTTCTCAGTCACTTACTGCTATTGGTGAAAATGAGAGCACCTATACCTTTGTATGTGGTGTACGTGAATCATTGTGAATCACAAATTGTTTCAAATTATTTTGTGAAGTCAAATCAAGGTTAGTACAATAACAATTTTGTTGAGACTAGTGTATGCACTACAAAATATACAAGAGACGAAAAGAAAAAAATGTATGCGAAGAAGAGAAAATGTAACAGAGAACAGAAATGAAATCCAAAAGACAGAAGAATGTTGTCTGGTATTTTGTTCAAACAATTGTAAAAATCAACTAATCCGATTGAAACTCATGCATTGAAGTCATCAAACAAACAAATAACCAGCAGACTTCTACGCATAATCTACACATTTAAGAAGTGTTATGCCGTAAGAAGAAGTCAGCATGTAAATTACTGCATCACACAAAGTAATTAGCAAATAATTTATCAAACAAATCCTTTGCTGAATGTGTAGATATGTTACAGGTGAGAGGTGCAAATAGTCTAGTTTCTTTCAGTAATATGTCAACACAGCCATTTTCTTTATATTCATTTATTTGACTAAATTATTTCCTTTTGAAGTAAAAACGGTTGAATAAATAAGGAAACAAATTTATAAAATCACACCCTATCTTATATCAGGTTTATTTATATCTACAAATATATATATATATGTATATGAGTAGACACATAGGTATATATATAAGAATTCAACATGGAAATGCACGAGTTTGATGACTCGATTTGAAAACATGTAAATATATATTTCTTGATCAACTGATAAATGGTTTAAAAATGCTCCAAGTATATAATATATATATGCATATAAACATATATATATATAAAGTGACAAATGCCAGTGTGCATATAAATTTTGAAGGATATTGTGAGTAGCTAAGGGTAAACGTGAGAAAACTAACCGATGCACTCAAACAATACTGTCATCATTATTGCTTGAACTGTGGTTAGCTGTATTGTTTATGTTTGCTGGGGTAAAACAGAGGTTGGTGGTGTATTAATTGTTGCATTCTGTGCAGAAGGTGCAGACGGTGAGTGATTTTTGTTTGGATATCTTACAGGTGCTGTAGCACCTACTATCAAATCGTTTGCATCACCAATATAACTTGAACCATTATTGTTGTTGTTATTGATCATGTAGTCTCCAGGAGCGCTACTGAACGCATCAAGGTATTTCTGATCTTCCATTGTCTCGTGTAGACGTTTGTGTCGATATATATGCCACAGTTCACAAGTTAAGTCACCAGCCATTAAATCTCCAACATTAATTGATATCAAACGAATGAGAAAAACACCGTCGGCCCGTAAATAATTTTCAACAAACTTGCTTGTCGCTGCTTTATCTGTGTCTCTCATGACAGACATAATTTTCAAATACTTCCTTATAAATTTAATGCGACACTTCGATGATCCCATACGATAAAACCAGATAATAAAGCTGCCCAACGTGACAACACCAACCATACAGTGCCAGAACCACAGAAAGATATAAATTTTCTCCAGAAACATATTCAGGGGAAGTACGCACTGTAGTGTGTATCTGAAAGAAAAATCGAAAACAACAGAATTTGTTATGATTATAAGTACATAGGTTGAATACTATGATAGAATATAATTTCATGTTGTATAATATGGCCTTGGTCGATAGTTTATGCTAAAACATCATTCATAAATGGTACCATATCACTATTTATTTAATCAAGTAAATTTATGGGTCATGGGGAAGTTGTTCACTTTTGACATTTTGTTCATTTTATGTTTTTCTTTAATTCTTTTTAAATTTATGAAGTAAACTCATGCTGATACTTTTCTTTCACATAGCTGAACATTTAGACTTATGAAATGATTACAATCAAACCGATAGGTATTTAATCCCAGACATCTAACCACTTATCTGACCGTTTTTTCTCAAATGCATTGCAACATTAAAGTTAGCACTGAAAAGGTAACCTTCAGGGTTAGGGAGAGATTCACAACTAAAGAACCAGCTTAGTAAATAAAATAACATCGGTAGGGGTAAGGGTGCGTATTGATAAGGAGACGTTTGCAAAAGCGAAGCAAATGTTCAATACTCCCTAGTTTTCAGCGGTTTTATAACTGATGACACTTTGTAATCAAACCTGAAACATCACGGCAGCTAAATATTCGTTCATTGTCAAAGAATTTTCCGTTACCCACTGTATGGTCTAAAAGATTACTGGCGAATTTAATTCAAGCTTATTATTGTTACAACTAAACATAATCCCACTCTGAATAATGAGCCAGTCGCAATGGTCGCTGTGAAGCATTTAGCGTCTGCAAAAACAATTTTATCACTGTTATGCTTACTGAAACGAATGAGTGAATAGATACTGACAGACTAACCAAACACTCAGAAAGGATTAGTAGGGATTAGAGATAAATTTGATACATGTGTGTAAGTGAAAGAGAGAGGATAAAGAATTATATTTAGGATGAGAGAATAAATGAGGCGCACCGATCATAGTTGTCACCTGAACTGAAATCTAGCCGATAAATATTCTTCTCTTCATTCACTGCATTTCGAGTGAAATATGGACTGTCATGGTCCACCGAGGGAGGGGGCTCCCGAGTGGTTGCGCCACAGGTTGATCCTGCATGCCGTTCTCGTCTCGCAAGAGGCGAGAATGCGTGTGTTTGGTTCTCCTGAAAACCAATACCCAGTCAATGGGTGTATCGTGGTGTGAATGGTGAGTCGGTGGTAAAACGGTTAGGACGCTCGCCGACCATCCACATGGTCCGGGGTTCGACCCCGGCCGGCGCACTCCTTTACCTCACTGAGCCAGAAATAATGCTGGTATAAAGGAAAGGTTGGGCATGAGATTAGCAACCCCATCCTGTAAAAATTAAACACTGCTACAGAAACTTCAAGCCACTAGCTTGGAGCCCTATGTTCTACTGGGAACGTGAAGGAAAAATTATTATTAATTATGGACTGTCAAGCTTTGAAGTTTGACTGGTAGTGATATTATTTCCTGAATGTAGGTTTGCTAATCTGATCCAAGCTTACTATCGGCTGGTAAATTAGGCCAGGTGGATCGGTAGGGAATACAGCATAGGCCAAGGTTCTAGCGTCTAACCTGCGAAGCACAAATTTGTGGATCTGATGAATGCTCGTGCTCTCAGTGCATTCTCTGAGCTTGGTAGTCATCTAACTTCCGAGCTCTCAGTGTCCAAAAAGACATTTCAGATGTACTTATCCCTTCGGTTTAGATAATTATACTTCTAAAAATGTTTTCACTTTATCTTTATATGTTCACCTATGGTCCAATTTTTAAACGCCCTTCAGTCCACACTTAGTTTTTCATTTTAAACAAAACTTTTGCTCGGAGCACAATTAAATGAGCAAAATTACCAAAGAGATAACCCATAAAAATTGAGAAAGGAGAAAAAGGTCACAATGAGTATATATATATATGTTAAATAATGCTACTCAGGATAGCAAAAAATAATAATAATCACTGTTATAATTATCACTACTATTGGTGATCATAATAGCAGAAATAACAATGATGAGGTTAAATTAATATTCGTATAGAATATTTCAAACAAAGGTGACTTGATTTTTCATAACTTTGTAATTTAGTTCTTTTAAGTTGGTCAGCTAACTGACTGACTGAATAAATACACAAAAAGAAATTTAGGTTGAAATAGAATAAAGAACAGAAGGTAGTGGAAATGAGGAGATATGTTGAACTAGGTCTTTTTCGCGAAGTAAAATAAAAATAAGGCAGGACACAATAAGACCTGAGAGTAAAGAAGGACTTTTATTGTTAAGGTCATGAATAGATAAATCAGTTGGAAGAATTGTAGGCAATTATGTATTTTTTTAAAATTTTGAAACGAATAAAGCTAGTCAGGATAGTATTTACTTACTGGATTACACAAGGTTTTGTTTCTTGTAAATTATACTGGTGATATTTTGAAAATAATTTAACGAAGTATGGTTTCCTTTAATTTATGTTACTTCAATAAATCTATCTGTAAAGTTGGACAATACATTGACTCATTAAAAACTTCTATGTTACACGTAGAATGTGTTTCATTTTGAAAAGGTTCTTCTAAGTGACATTTAGATATTTGGTGAGGCCTATCAGCTGGCTCAAGAACCTTTTTAGGTAAGATAAATATATATACCCTTGGATTTCGAACAGTTTCAGGATACTTTCTGTTCGTTGAAGTACAGCCTGCATAGCTGTCAATGAAGGGTGAGAATGAAATTAGGAGTTAGTTACCAAGTGATTATATTTTTAACCTCATCAAGAATGAAGTCACACGAATGAAGTGTCTCAAAACAGGGAGCAACAGCTATCTAGTAGTCGCTGGTTTTCAGTGGTTGCTTAACTGATATTAGTTTGTGATTGAATTTGTCTTGAAACTAAATCCCCTTACCTTACAATCCCTGAACATTTGTAATTGTAGACAATATTTGTGCAAGAAGTATTTATTCTGTGTTCCTCTAACCACTTCAACAATTCGTCGAGCAACATATTACTGGGCAACAAGTCTAACTGCATAGGCTTACTTGGTGTTTAAAAAAATCAGTTAGCTAAAACAGTTACAACTCATCAGCAAAGCTGAAAATGGAGACTTAATTAAAATTCAGTAGACAAATACGCAGCTAAAAATGATGAGTTACTCTGAAGAGATTTCAGAGAACTTACAGAGGTTTTCTTCAGTAATTTATCTTCCTACGATTGCCGATGCATTGAGAGAAAAAGACAAATCGTTTGCCTTACTCAAATGGACTCTAGCGAACTCGATTGCTTACTCATACATCTGATTATTATGTTGTAGTAGAATGGTCACATACTGAAGATAAAGACAAAGTTTCATGAATGTTTTCATCCAAAGTGAATGCTTTGCCTGACCTCATCACCTTCTAAGTAGTATAAAACTAATTAAAACCGTTTAGTGTTTAAGGAGCAAAACTTAACTCCAGCCAATTAACATTAATAAATCAGAAATTGACCATCTGATAAGAATGGATGATTTTGATCAGAAAAAGTGTTTCACGAAAATCTTAACAAAAAACATCAGGATTAGTTTAAATTGTGAAGTGAGTATATTCGGTGAACCTTGAAATTTGCAGAGTAACTTTCAAGTGGCACTTTATTCCTCAAGTGTTAGGAAACAAAAACATTTTGCAAATCACGGTGGTATAGGCAGTAGTGAAACCTTTCATCATACATTTCTGGACTTGTATTCACGTTCGATATCACTTAGTAACTGTGTTCTAATGAGGCTTTGATTACGATATGAATAAACTGGCCTTTGTTTATATACGCTAGATGATGTCCAAGGATCCACCATCCCTAGAAACATATCAGGATTTTTTAAGTTCTGTTGTGTGCGGAATTTAAAAGACAAGGTCCTTGTCCTAGTCAGTATTACAATGTTAACTAATATAAATGCTTCACGATAATCTAACTGACATTCCTATAACTTGTAGAGTCATTCAACACAAAACAGTGAACTGCCTTAAAGAAAAACACTTTAAAAGCAAACACTAGACACTGCTAACACAAATGCTTAGATATCTCAGTTTTAAACTCTGCATTTGGATGCTATATGGAAATATGACTGCATTTCTAATCCATTTATTCAGCTAACAGATAATAATCAAAACCATCTATGAATGCAGCTTTTATCTAGACCTTGTCAAGCTATAAAACATAGCAAACTATTTGATTACTTTAATCTTGTTTTTATACTGGTATTCAGTCCATATTGTTGTTGTCTTTTGATTTCATATATCCTACAAAACGTACTTTAACTAACCTAAACTATTGATAATAACACACTAGTTTTAATTAGAACTATAGAACACCAAATCCCCATTCTAGAAAACAATCATATTTTCCGTTGTCTGGGATTAGGTAGGAGCACTCCTAAACCCCGTTTAGCTGGCAGTTAACTTGATAAAGAAGGAATGTTTGACATGAGGTTAGCAACCCAACTCTTAAATAAAATTAAATCACCGCTATCTAAATTTCAATGCTCAAACTTGAAGCCCCTACATATTTCGCTCGAAAAATGAAGACATGAAAACAGAATTCAGGAATAAAAATTCTAATGTTGAAATGTATACTACTGTAAGCTATTCACATCTCTGTTACAATAGAGTGATGTTATTATTATTATTATTGGAAATAACGATTTCAATTTCTCAATCCACCAACTCTTGAGTTTTCTCTCCCCCTCATTAGAAATGTTATTAACTGATACAGCATCTATGACTATTACCTTCACCTTAATTTAATAATATTTATCATTCTGTCGAAATGAATACACAATGCGTCTATTTATACACTTACCGTTTATTTTATGGTGTTTCTATATATAAACATCTTTTGAAAATAATTGACCTACATTAGTTTGGAGAATTCTATAGATGAAAATAAGCCTGGGGCTAAACTGAAAAGAATTACTCATATTATGACCGAAAGCAACAATTTTATTCATTATACGCCCTGTTCTATGTAAGTCTGTCAATCAATTTAAGTAAACTTTGGGATATAT